TCCATGACATATGCAATTGCAGAAACAGAGAGCCAAAGACAGGGGTAATTTCTGATGTGGGTCTTAAAGCTCAAGTAAGCATAGACTGCCATGTAGAATCCTCACTGGGCAGAAGGGCTGTGTGGATGACAGTCCTCAGAGGGGGGAAAACCTCACATGCTCTCTCTTTCTGGTTCTCCTTCTCTCTGTGTGGAGAACTTCCTCCCTTTGCTTACAGATCAGAAACCTCCAGAGGGTAAGATGACATACTTTCCCAGAAGTGAGGTCATAGAATCTCCCTGCAGTCAGCTTGTACATAGAAAAGGTGGTAGAAGGCCACATGCTTCTCTAGGTTTTATGGATTGCCTTGGGTGATGGAAGTTTTACTCTGTGTGACTTGCCTTTAAGAAGAAGAATTCTAGTTTATAAGAATAGCTTTGAAGGAGAAAGGGGATGGGGAGATAAGTGGAGGGTGAATAGAGAGCTGATGTGTCTGAGGCCCTTTCCAACTCCTTAATTTCAAAGTCCTTAGCCTGCCAAAGACACATACTTTGTGACACCATGTTCTGATCCCTGATATTTTCAATCTGGATCTTTAACATGTGTTTCATAAAAATTCAGACTTGAGTACTGAAAGTGGACAGGAGAGTTGGGGTAGCAAGTGACAGGTAAACTATGCACCAAGGGACAGATGCATATCTCAGAATGAGAATGAATGCACAGACAAGAACTAACCAAAGCTTATGGAAGAGGACAAGCCCACACAGACAAGTGTAACTCCTTCATTCATGAACTGCTCATCAGTTACATGTTAACTAAATCCTATGTTCCAGGTACCTTTTCATGTCTTCTAGGTACAACTCTGAGGTCAAGCAGACACATTACTGTCATTATGAACATGACAGTGTCAGCATATTGGCAGAACCAAATTGTAAACAAATTCTCATCACCAATAATAATAAAATAAACCTATCAAGTGGTCAGAGAGCATAGGTCTGCAAAGACAGTGAAAGTCAAGGAGTAACCTTAAAGGGAAAGGTAACTGAGCTATGTGGAATGACATTTTACTATCTTGGGTTGGAAACAATGCCATTGTCCCACATTCTTTATACTAACTTGGAAAATAATCACAGTTGGGCCACTGATTTTCACAAACATTGGCTTTCCATGATGCTGCTCGAATAGAGGAGAACCTGCAAATTTTTTTACAGGTTAACTGAACATCAATTCTAGATGAATTTGTGAATAATTTTAACCAGATTGTTTTAGGTATAAATGAGGTCATCCTACATTTTTTTGCTCATCCTCTAGTTTCCAAACTCATGTTTCTTTTGCTTCATCTAAGCAACAGTACACTGATATTCCAGAAGACAATTAGACCACAACTTTTCCTTAACAATTGTGGGACCCTGGAATGTATGGAAGAAATCTAAAGAATGATTCTGAAACGCTGGAAAGTTTTGAGTTTTATACAGAAGTAAGATTTGGAAATAGTATTGAAGTAGGTTATTCCTTTCTTCCAGAAAAACTCTCTTAAAATATTATGATCTGACATATAAATTTAAAGATGCTCTAGTTTGCATGGCTTGATTTTTATCACATAAAATCATGTCTACAATATAGTCTGTGTTGGGTCTATGAAAATTCTATTGCATTAATGTTGCATATATTTTATGTATAGCTTCTGCTGCCCAACATTCCTTGTTCCAATACAGGTGGGTGGATCTACTTTGTACAACTATTCAGAAGAAAATAGAAAATGAAAACAAAAAATATTATTTTGAATCTCAAATACACATTTAAAAATTATCTCTTGAAGCAAGGTTGCTTGGATTGCTATGTTCTTATGCAGTTTTTCTGGCAACATCTCAGGATGATCACACCTTTGCTACAAAAATGAGCTAGATCAAAGTAAAGTATCTACAGTGAATGTCTCTTCCTGTAAAGAAACCTTGAAACACATATAAATTGAGCAAAATGAAGCCGAAGGAAATGTGAGTTTAACTGAAATGAGATTGTGTCAGTATTCAAGGCCATGCCTCTTTGGTATAAATGTTGGGGACTGAACACAAATCTAAGGAAATTCCTCATAGATGAGGACAAAGGCAAGACTAGGGACTGAGCAAGGACCAAAACCAAGGACCAAGGATCCCAGCATCAAAGTGAGCTGATCTCGGCCTTAGAAAAGCCACATAGAGTAGCCACATAGATTAGTCTCCCAGGAGTAATTGTATTAGGTCTCATTGTCCTGAGGTACCATCTCAGTAAACGTTATGGGCAGCATCTGCCTGGATTAAATGAGCTGGATTCAGAGTGGATCATCTGTGATCAGGCAGCAGAAAGGTCAGTCCCCAGTTAAGAAGAAAAATCTAGAGTTTGGACCCAAACAGGTCCAAGGCACGTACAGAGGCCCAGTGTTGTCTGAGTATGTCAGGAAAGGGGGGACATTTGCAGTAGCATTCTGAAAAAGAGGAGCTGAAAAATGAGGAATTAAATTCATAGTGGGTGCTGGGGAATTATAAGCAACGTAAGCATATTTCAAGCAGTAAAATTTTAGGACTCTAGGCACTATTTAGGACTATAAACCTTATTTCTAACATTTAATTAAAATAAATTTATACAAGGCCTCACCTAAGATAGATATACATACATATATATATATATATGTTTATCTGTATGTATATCAGTGACTACATAGAACCAATGACTATATAATACACATGTTTGAACATATATATGCACCTTGATAATACAAAACATTCCTCACATGCTGTCCTAGAGTGCTAATTAATACTTGGAAATATTTCAGGACTACAAGCACATGAACTAAAAATCTGATTTTCTCTCTAGGTTTGGCTTAGATATATAGACTTAAAGGCAATATTATTTTGGGTTAAAATTCTAAAAATGCACTTTAGTTACACACCAATTTCTCTCAGAGAACCTCCTCATCGCCTCTTTGACATCTTTGTTCCTCAAACTGTAGATGATGGGATTCAGCATGGGAATCACAATGGTGTAAAATATGGACACCACCATGTCATGCTCCAAGGCATAGCTGGAACTTGGTCTCACGTACATGAAGAGGACTGTCCCTTGATAAATGGACACTCCGGTAAGGTGGGAGCCACACGTGGAGAACACTTTCCTCCTCCCTTGGGCAGAATGCATCCTCAGAATGGCCAAGAGGATGAAGCCATAGGAGATGAGGACAATCAGGAGGGTGACCCCCTCAATGAAGCTAACAAAGAGGAAGAGTAGAAGCTGGTTTGTGTGAGTATCAGAACAGGAGATAGCGAGGAGAGGAGGGATATCACAGAACACGTGCCTAATTACATTGGATCCACAGAAGGACAGCCTAAACGTGGCCACAGTATGTACCATGGCATTTAAAGTGCCACCAACATAGGAAGCAATGATGAGTGGAACATAGACTCTGGGTGACATCCTTACTGAATACAGCAGGGGGTTGTAGATGGCCACATAGCGGTCATAAGCCATTGCTGCCAAGAGAAATGATTCCGTGGTCCCAAAAATAACAAAGAGAAGCATCTGTGCTGCACATGCAGGAAGTGAAATGGTTTTATCCTTTGTCAGAAAATTGACCAACATTTTGGGGGTGACAACTGTGGAGTAGCAGGCATCCAAGAATGATAGCACACTGAGAAAATAGTACATGGGTTTGTGGAGCCGGATATCACTGATGACCAATGCTATCAGACCCAAATTTCCCACCAGAGTGAAGAGATAGACTGCCAGGAATAGGGAAAACAGGAAGACTTGCAGGTGAAAATCATCTGTGAAACCAGTCAGGATAAACACAGTGACTTCAGTCGTGTTCCTCAAAGAAATCATGGGTGACTCCATGTCTTTTGCTGTCTCTGACATTTCAGTTATGATTTCTAAGTTTAAAGGCAATGTGGTGAAAACAGAGTCCACGATTTGTGTTGCGGAGAGGCACATAGAATCCTTGTCACTGAAAAGATCAGACAGAGGTGCAGAACTTTGGTCCATGTGGATTCATTACCCTGTTTAAATGAGTTGAAGAAATTATTGTTATTCAGTTGCTGACTGAATGTATCTTGTTACCAGAATCTTCCCATTTAAGTTGCTGGCTTTCCACTATTGTCTATGAGACGTTTCCACCTGCTCTCATATTTCCCTGTCTTAGGGCTCACAAAGATGAAATACTCACCCTGGGTTCCACTCAGAATCCATAGAATGAGGTTCCTTAGTGCTCTCAGGTTTTCACATGGAACAGCCACACTCACAGTATAATGCAAAGTGAGAGAAGCAGTGGGAGGATCATTGAATAGACTTTCACAATTGGCTGGAAAATGGAATAAATTAGACTTACATTTCAGTTTGACCACTGGGGTAGCCTGCCTGCCTGAAGCATTTCAAGCATACAAGACATTTGGCTCCCTCCTCAGTGCTTATGGGACAGTGATGGACAGGTTTTATATGACATTAAAATTGCATGCTGATGATACTGTACTCACCAAACCCCAATACTCTGTAAAATGCTGAAAATTAGATCGGCATCTATTTGTCTATGGACAGGGGAGAAATGCAGTTAACATTTTCAAAGGCAGTCCTTGTGACCTTTTTTGATTGAACATGTTTGTGGTACATAATGATTGGATTCATCAGGGGGAGTTGGTACCCGTGAACTTTATGATAATAATTTTCTAGCAAACAATGATGCCTCCATTCTTTGCTATGGAGCAAACAGCTGGTTTATGAATTCATAAAATATCCTTCATTCCAGATGATGTCTCAATACAGCAAATTCCCTAAATCACTCTTGCGAACTGGAAGGAGTTGTCCACAATAAGCTTGGTTTCCAATACTTCATCCAAGATGCTCACAGCACGGACCTTTTGGGCAGCTAACATTTTAGGGAATTAGATCCAAATGCATTTGGTGTCTCTGATTTCACATTTGACAGATTATAGATAAAAATACAGATCTCAGAATTTTTAACACAACATGAACAATCTGGAAAAGCAAAGAAAAATCAGGCCCCCAGTTCTCAAAGTATGAAAACACAGATCACTGGCCATATGACAAACAATGAGCTCAAAACCAGAAAATCCTCTACAGCAGCTGCCATGCTATCACTCGTCAAAGGGTGAGAATTGTGTGTATTTTACCCCATAGAATCGGCACAGCACCTCCAAACTCCCGGCTCAGCAGGGCTGGACTGATGAGAAAGCTGCGGCCCAGGCACACACAGAATGGGGCGGAGTCACACAGTCAGTCACGGAGCCATGGTTCAAGCCAGGATTCGGCCCCCGCTTGCTGCGTTTTCACGTCACCACTCTGCACACTCATTGCGGTGAGCTGACATTGAGAAGCCATCCCCCAGAAACAGCAGAAAACCACACTTGCTCATGTTTAAATTCATTTACAAAGCAATCAAGCTTAGAAGACTGAAATTTTTAAAAGTAAGCTGAACAGCCTCTTCTATCAATTTTTTAACTGGGAAATAAATGTAAAATTTAAATCTTTTAATAGGAAAAAAATCCAAAAATGTCATGGAACCAATTCCTCAGGTAGGCATTTTAAATCAATTTAATGGTGTACATTTTGTCACTTGTATAAATTACACATAAAATTCTTCAATTCTTTTCCCTTCTTCTGACCAGTCTCCTTTCTCAAGTAAATTAAAGCAAATTCTTAAATCATAGATCTATTCACTCATACTTTTAGGAATTCTCCCCATTTTCTCTGTTGTATTCCCTGAAATATATGAGATTCAGTTTGCAATAGAATCTCAAGTTAAATCCATTGTCTTATACTAAAATATTAAGACATACATTGTGGTTTCAAATTCAACACTATAGAATCCAAATATTTCACAAGTTGCCCTTTCACTTGCCATCTGAATTGAACTGCTCACCAGCTGAAGGCTGGATAAGGCAGTCGACATTGTTTTCTTATATTAGATCCTTGTGCTCTGCTAGTAGTCCTTACGGGAGCTGCAAGGAGAATACACACCAACTCTCCCCTGGGGAGAAAGCTATCAAGTTAATTTTGTGTTTGCACAGTAAGTGACTCAGTGATGTAGAACAATGAATTACATGACCAAAACTTATTGTATGAAGGCATTTTGCCAGTGATATGAAATGCAAAACGAATATGCATAGACCTTACAAAGAATCAGTGTCAACCTTGATAATAAACATGTGCCATGAGGATACTAACAGATTTCCTGAAATCTGATTCCTTTTCTTGGAAATATAACCTGTCAAAGGCTCTTGATATCCTGGAAACTCATATGATCAGGTTCTGTGAAAGCATAAGTTATGATGCCATGTAATCATTCCTTAATGATCTCTCACTATACTTGTTTGAATATTAAGATTCTGTAATTTTAAAATACTGTAATGGAAAAGGAAAATAAATGGATCAAATGAGTCCATATTTGTGAACATTACCAGGTTAGTTACAACAGTATAAATATAACTACAATCCTATACACTAAAACAGTATAATCGAGATTCAACAGTGGTATAAGTCAACCTTTTCGGTTTCTCCTGGTGGCTTCTTGTTTGGGAACCCCACATACAATTCACAGATTTGAACCTAGCTATAAACAAAAATTTCTAAAACTATTGTGGAAATTAATTACTCGGGTGATCTAAAAATGACACAGTAAGCCACAGACACTAGAGAATGTGTAAAAAGTAAAATCTGCAGTGTTAAATATAGGAAATAAGATCACTTTAAAGTGTTCTTCTCTTTAAAGCTTATGATGAAGTATTTAACAGATATCTCACAAGAGAAGAAAGACATCAAATAAACATGGACAAGTTCAGCCACATCAGAAGTTATAAAGGAAATGCAAATGAAAACCATGAGATCTCCTACAGCCCTGTTACAGCTCAAAATTCAGGATGCGGTGATCAACAAATGCAGGCGAGGTTGTGTAGCACCGGGCAGGCTCACTCGGGGCAGCGGGAATGCTGGGGACGCAGCCACTTGAGCACGCATCCTGGAAGTTTCTTTCCACGTGAAAGACACTCTTATTAAAAAGCCAGCCAGCACACATACACCTTGTTACAGATCCAAAGGAGCTGAAAACGTATTTCTACACAAAATTCTGCACATTTGTGCTCATAGCAACTTTATTTCTAAGGGTCAATATTTGGAAGCAACCAAGAAAGCCTTCAGAGAGGGATTAGATTCATAAACTTTGGACTGAAGAAATGTGATATCAAGATCTGCCAAGAAATGCAGGAAGTTTTAATGTGTATATTTCAGGGAAGTAACCAATGAATAAACATTAGCAAATAAATATAAGTAAAAGTACATTTACAAAATGGAAGACTCACCAACGGTTAAGAGTTAAAAATTATAGTTAGATACCAAAGTTTTGCTAAGTGGAAGACACCAAACTTACAATGTTTCCTCCAATGTGCTGGCATTTGTATCTCATTGTGGACATAGCAGCATTCCAACAGTGAAAAAATACGATATAATTCCAAATATAATTTGTAAGTGACAAAAGCAGAGGGCAAAAGGAACTGATCCAATACAAACTAGAAACTTGAGAAAGTTTTAGGATGATAGAAATATTTTATGTTGATTTACTTGTGCACTTGGATATGTTTATCAAACTTCTTATAAGTGACACTTATAGCCAGGTATTTTTGAATTTAAGATTCCAAACCCTGATTTTAAAAACATCTCAATGACTCTTATGTTTATTATTGCTCTGAAGGGCATTATTTTTGCAGGAGTGCTCGTGACTAGAAGATAAATAAAGTTTACTGGGAGAACTGGGGACATCCTGACTCTTGGTCTAGGTATTTTTCACAAGCTTATGTACAGTTTGTAAAATTCCACCACACTGTACATTTCTGATACATATGAATGAGGTATACTGCAATATCCCATGCATTCATGGACTTCATAATGTTTCAAACCAGTTAAACATATCTGTCACATCAACATTTATCATTTCTTAGCAGTGAAAAATTTCTACATGTGTCCTCTAGATTTTTCTGAAACTTACAGTCGAGGTTTAATGCATTCACACTCCTGTGTAAAGCATAACCAAATTTCTTGTCCCTAACTATAAATTAATAGCATTTGACCAACATTTACCCCTCCCTCCTTTAGATGTACACAAACCAGCAGTATTGCTAGGTCACAGGGTAGTTCTAGTTTTAAGTTTTTGAGGACTATCCATAGGGGTTTCCATAATTGCTACACTAATTTTCATTCTCTACATCCTTTTTAGCATTTATTATCTTTGCAGTATGCCAACAGGAACTCTGGAGTGAGGTAATATCTCATTCTGGTTAGGATTGGCATTTCCTTGATGGCAATGATGTAGAGCATATTGTCACACAACTGTCAGCCATTCCAGCATCTTCTTTTCAGAAAGTCTACCTAAATCTCTTGTCCCTCTTAAATTTTCTTTTTTGCTGTTGAGACTTGGAATTTCTTATGTACTCGGAATATCCATCTCTCGCCTGATGTATAATTTGTGAACATGTTTTCTTTTTCCTTATGCCATCCCTTCATTTGGTTGTTTCCTTTGCTAAGGAAATAATCCAATTTATCTCTTTTTGATTTTGTACCCTATGATTTTGGTATCTTGTCCAAAAGTCCTCATGCATTGCAATGTCAAGAAGCATTTCATCCATGGCTCCTTTTGTGGTTTTATAGTCTTGGTACTACATGCAATTCTCTAATCCATCCCATTAGTTTTTGTGATTGATTGGTGACAGGAAGGAACCCTTTTCTTTCCTCTGCATGTGGAGTTACAATTTTCATAGCAACTACTATGGAATGGACTGCCCTTTCTCCAATGCACAGGTGAAAACACCTGAGTAAATAAAATTGACTATAGATTTGTTAGTTTATTATAGAAACTCCCTTCTGTTTTCTTTTCAATGCTAATACCATGCTGTTTTAGATACTACAGCTTTGTAGCATATTTTAAAGCCAGGTTGTGCAAGACTTCCTGCTTTGTTCATTTTGTTCAGGTTGGCTTTGGC